CAAACCTTAATCCTCAAGCTGACATCTTTGCTCTTTAACACTTTAAAAAGGTCTTGTGCAGCAGATTTGCCTAATGCAGTATGTTGTTTGATTTCTTTCTTTCTTTCTTTTTGTTAGAACAACTCAGCCAAATAAAATTGTGGTTTATTGTTGGACAACATTGTTTCACACATACATCAAACAGGCCAAAAAACATAAATAAATAAACAGCAACTTCATAGACAAAAAAAAAGGAAAAGAAACTTTATCTTTGGCCTTTTTTTAACCATCTCATACTAGCCAACTACTTATAGTACAACTAAGTACATACACACAAAAAAAGTTACTAGAATGTTCGGAATAAGATTGTAATTTTTTGTTGTTGTTGTTTTTGCTTTTTTTTACAAGTTTTTTTTTCTCCTTTTAGATTATAATGAACATGGTCACATCACAAGTAAAGTCAGAATTAGGACAGACAACGCTCCAAAGGCTGGTTTGGTAATCCAAGATCGTCAAAAATGGCTGACCCCTAACAATATGTACAAAAATATAAAATGTAAGTAAAAAATACAAACAAATTTTCCTTTTTAAAGTACTTTTAAGAAAAAAAGCAGGGCCATGGAAGTTTTGGTTCTTTTTTCTCCCCTGTTGCAAATTCACATGGTTTTGGTTGGGTGGTGTGGCTTGTTATCTGCGGGTGGCGCTGCCCAAAGTGGGTGGGTGAGACTTTCGAAGGTGACCACGTTTAGATTCTGAGACGGGAAGTGGAGGGTGAATAGTTCACGGTGGCCTTTTCAAAATTTAACTTTCCCTTTTTTGCTGTCTAGTCATCCTCGTTGGTCTTCTGCTTCTTGGTGTCAACATCATCATCCTCATCATCTTCAGCTGCCCATTTGCCCATAGCTGCCTCAGCCTCTTCATCTTCATCTCCATCTTCTTTCTCACCATCACCTTCTTCCTCTTCCTCCTGTTACTCATCCTCGTCTACCTCATCGTCAGCCTTCTGTTCCCCATTTTCCTCGTTAGCGTTCCCATTAGCGGTTACGTCTCTTCTATTTTCTGTTTCCTCCACAACCTCCTTCTTCTCGTTTAAGTCCTTGGTGGTGATCTTGGAGCTGGTGTCCACAGCCGCATATGACATGATGGGGCACACCGCTGATCCGATACAGAGGATGACAAAGAGTTGTTGTTCAGGGACTCTAGCGAGAGAGCTGCCGGAGTGTCCGCAGTGGCTGAAGAGAAAGAGCATGGCTGAGGTGGCTGCGGGGAGTAGGGAGCAGACCCATAACAATGCAAAGATGGCTTTTCAGAGCAGCCAGTGGGTCATTTGATTTCTTGACTACTGCTTCTGTGAGTGTTGATAGTTAATCCAAGAAGAATGAAGTCCTTGACAACTTCAATCTTTTCTCCTTTGATAAGAATGTTGTTTATTTGCCCAGTGGTGAGGATTTTTGTTTTCTTTACATTGAGATGTAATCCATACCGAAGGCTGTGCTCTTTTATCTTCATCAGTAAATGTTTTAAGTCCTCTTCACTTTCAGCAAGCAAGATTGTATCATCTGCATATTGCAAGTTGTTAATAAGTCTTTCTCCCATG